ATGGCGGCGGACGGGGACTGGCAGGATTTCTATGAGTTCCAGGAGCCGGCCCGGAGCCTCCAGGACCAGGAGAACTGTAACGCGAGCTCCGAGGCCGGGGCAGGGCCGGGCGGGGACGGCGACGGCTTCCCGGCGCTGGCCTGCAGCTTGGAGGAGAAGCTGAGCCTGTGTTTCCGCCCCTCGGGTCCGGGCGCCGAGCCCCCGAGGACGGCCGTGCGGCCCATCACCGAGTGCAGCCTCCTGCAGGGGGACGAGTGAGTGCGGGCCCCGGCGGGGAGCGGGCGGGAGGCGGGAGCCCCCCCCGCCCCTCGCCCCGTCCGCTGGCCCTCGGTCCGCAGGCTCCTCCCCGCGCCCTCCTTCCGCCTCTGTGGGCTCGGGATTCTCCGCCCAGCTCTGCCCTCTCCTTCCCCGGGGCTTTCGGCCTCTGAGCGCTGGGCGGTTTAAATCCTGCTCCTCGGCTCCCCACGCTCCCTTCAACCTCCTCCAGCGCCCTCCTCTTCCTCCTTTCTAGAAAACAACCCTTGTTAGGCGTAGAGGGGACCTCCTTGAACAGAGCCCGTGGTAAGAGGCAGCACCTTCGGGCACAGGTTTAACTATTCATTCATTCAACTAGCATTCTTTTAAGTGCCCGTTAAGTGTCAGAGGCTGCTTTGCACCTGGAATACCAAGATGACTGCCCCTCTCAAGTAGGGCACAACCTAGGATTGGAGCTAGATTTGTAAACAAACATTTATCTGAGTGTGACAAATGCTCTAATGGGTATATGTGGTAGATTTAGGCGATTTAAAAGGCTGTGTGAGTGTTGGGGCCGGGGTGTGGGGGGCGGGGAAGGGGGGGAGAGTCGGGAAAGACTTCGTAGAGAAAGAAATGTGAAAACTGGAACTTGATGAATGAGTGGGAGTTTTCCTGGCAGGTGAAGAAAGATTTAGCATTCTAGCTCGAGGATGTAGCACGTGCAAAGGTAACGTTGAGGCAGCATGCGTGCCACAGGAATTTATTAGGTCGACCACCTGAGAGCCCAGGTAGAGCTCAGGCCCCCACAGAGGCAAAAAGGAAGACATCTGGTTGTGCATAGCAAGGCTCTCCTAGTTTGGTGGGGGACCAGTGCATAAGCAGGTGATTATTAAAATCATCAAAGTGCGATGATAGGAAATTCACGGGAGTTTATGAGAATGGGGGAAGGGAGGGATAGAGTTCCTGGGGGCACTTGAACCACGTTGAACCCCAATTATAATTTGGTTAAATACAGGTTGCAATTTTGTACCACAGCATTACCTGGAAAGGTAGTTAAAGAAGCAGAGTGAAAGAAACTTTAGCATATTGTAATGTGGGGGCAGGGGAGCCCCTGCAGAGCCTGAGAGTGGAAATAGTGGCGTGAACACGACCTGGGAAGGGTTGGGTTTTCGAAACATTGCTGGGATGGAGGTTTTAGAGGGTAGGGAAGAATTCTTGAGCGAGAAGGATCCATGGGCATAGAAAGGGGCTTCTAGCTGGATGGTCTCCTTTTCTCTGTGAAGCAGATTTATCAGGAATAAGGTAGGAAGCTTGAGAAGAGGGAGGTTGGGGATGAATGCCTGTAAACATGGCTTAGGCAGGGGTTCCGGCCCAGTTATGCTTGGAGACTGTACCTGTTCACTGGGACCTCTGTTCGGTGTTAAGGTGTAAAGGGAACGCTTTATGATTGGGTTTTATACACACAGATAGGCGTGCAGTCAATGGCAAAATATGACATTTCTGAAAGTCTATTCCCAAAGAGAAGATAATGTTTTATATACTAGATAACCTCTGAATATGTAGATTTATATAGATTTGTATATGTGGATTTATATACTCTGAATCGCTAGACTCAGGACATATTCTGGATTTAAAAATTGTATATTTGGGTTTATCAGGAATACTTCTCAAAACAGATTGTTTGTGCACAGATAGTTAAAGTTCCTTATTTTTGTTCTGCCTGTAACGTCTGGAAAGGAGTATAAATCGTAGGTTGATGTAAAACTTAAAAAAGAATTTTGTTACTCTTGATAATGGTTTTTAGTCAATATTATGTTGGTAATGTGTGTCGCTTGATTTGGGAATGCACAAGAAATTTTTCTCTTTTCCAGGGCCTGGGCTGGTCACCACTCTCATCCCCTTTCTCTTGCATAAATCTGCACTGCATTACTATATAGAGTCCATTTCTGCTCCTTTAGAGAATGGAGAATTCTTTCACTCAGATATTGCCTTTTCTTAGGGCACTTTCTAAAAACTCCTGAGTCCCAGTTTTCGTTTTGGTTAAGTACAGGGATTGTACTTATTGGCTAAGGTTTTAATTTAGATGGGTCTCATAGGATTCAGTGTCAGCGGGACTTTGACCACGGAACAGAGCTATCTTGCCAGTGGTTTATGACTGTTTGTAATATGTTATGATAAGGATAAAGGCAATTCATGTTTTGACTGGAGAATTCTAGCACTCTTTCACGTAAGTTGGCCCCGCCTCCTTCCAACTACAATGGTTCTGATCTTGGTGGAGATAAAGGACAGCTGTGTCCTTCCCTTTCTTGGAATATCAGATTCAGTCACAGTCACTTTTACTAGAAGTATTCTACTCCATTTGTCTTATTATTACAGCCTCATAAGAAGGGGTAAATAAGCAACCCCCCAAACTCTGGATTGTCTTCACCTACTAGAGTATCCTACTTGAGCTCCTGACCAGGGTTAGGTTATGTAGTCGGTTATTCAGGATTTAAGTCTTTTACCCAGTAAGGTGTAGGTAGGTCAGAAACCCAGCAGGGTTAGCAGTCCAGAAGTGTTGCCTCCAATCCGAGCACATTGGCATTAGAGGAGATTGATTCCAACAGAGGTGGGGATAGGAAGGAACCCGCATACGGGGAATTTGCGGGGTGAACACGCCAGTGTTCTAGAGCCTTTGGGCTCACATTTTCATTGAAGCTACTGTGTGTTCCAGAGCCAACATCATGTTGGGGTTTTATGTTTTCGGCAGTTGTGATCCCATTACTTCAACTCTGTAACACCAAGTCCCAGTTTATTAAATCAAGTATGTTCCTGCTTTACTTCGAAGCTTGCATTCCTATTTTTATGCCCCTAGTGGCCTTGTTTTTCTGTCCTAATGGCTTATGCACTTGGGAAAAAAAAGCCCCACCCAATAATTTAATGGCTTATTCACAGTTAGATACCTGTTATACATGTTAGGGTTTTTTTATGACATGTATATGTGTAACTCTGTGTAATGTTTAATTTTACTTACCCCAATTAAATTCCATCCCATTTATAGCTCTGAACTCATTTTTTTCATACAGTGTCATGTTTTATTATGCTGAGTATTACTTTGGTACCAAAACTGGAGTTTTGGTCATGAAATTGGAGTTTGCTGTCCTCATCTGGTGTGGGTTAGGACCTTTTTCAATACAACTCATTTAAATTAGTGTTTAGAGTAATAGAGCAGGAGGAACGTCTGTTTCTCTTGTCCAAGCCTCTCATGTTATAGAAGGGTGGACAGTACATAGACAAGTTAAAGGATGCCACCAAAAACTCATTGTTTGAGGAAGCATGGAGATGGCAGTCTGTGTTTCCTGATTTTTGGTCACGTGCCCTGTTGCCTCCCCAAAATGCTGTTTGGTAATAAGATGGGATAACCGCATTTAGATATAACCTGTATAGATTGTATTGTGAACTCCCTTCTTTTCCCCTTTCATTTTATCAGTCTTAGTTCTTAGCCTATTATATTACAAATTAGATATTAAACCCTGATCTCACATTGTAACTGAATCCTTTCTCCAGAAAGGATAACAAACCTTTGGTTAGAGAGAGATTATTCATTCTATGAAATGGTCTCTATGTTTCGAAGTTATAGAAACATGTAAAGCACAGTGAATTTACTATCGGTGTGGCTCTGGAAACGTTACTTAACCTCCCTATGCGTCAGTTTTCCCATCTGTAAAATGGGAATAATAATGGCTCTTCATAATACTGTTTTTGGGAATGAAATGAGTTCATATACGTAATAAACTATTTAGAATAGTGCCTGGCACATAGCACAGTGGAAGTGTCAGCTGTCAACTTTGGGAGAGTTTTCCATCTCACTTCACCTTCCCTCAGGACTTCTTGTCAGCCCAATTATATGATTTCCATTTAGTCTTGTTGATGTGTTTCTGAGAAACAATAGACCTTTTATTTATTTATTTTTCTGCTTTGATTTTTTTTTGTTTTTCACTATCGTACTGGGTATTTGTTTGATAAAAGACATAGAATGTTAACTTTCATGGACTGTGGTCTTCTTCTTTTTGAGGATTTGGAACGCCCTGACAGATAACTACGGAAATGTCATGCCTGTGGACTGGAAGTCGTCCCATACCAGGACCTTGCACTTGCTCACTCTCAACCTGTCAGAAAAAGGGGTAAGTTAGGAGCTGAGCCAATCATTTGTCAGTAACTGATTCTGATAATGGAACTAAAAAGTGGCATTTCCAGGCCTGTAGCAATTAGTGGCCCTCTCTTGCCACAGTCAGCTTACGAGCACATTCCTCTAATTCTTCCCCTTTTTTATGCCTAGCTAAGTTGCCATCACCTGTGTGCGTATGTCAGTGACCAGCACTTTTTCCAGCTTCAATAACACAATTTTGATGTATTCAGTGAGAGTCCTAGCCTTTGGTTAAGCATACAGTCATGTGCCACTTAGCCACCAGGATATGATGTTCTGAGAAATGCGTCATTAGGCGATGTCCTCATTGTGCGAAGGTCACAGAGTGCCCTCACACAAACCTACATGGTAGAGCCCACAGCACACCTAGGCTGCATGGCATAGGCTGTGCTCCTAGGCTACCAGCCTGTATGGCGTGATATGGTACAAAACACGAGAGTAAATCCAACACAAGAGAAATGACGCAATCAAGAGACACAGTGAACGCAAGATGAACGAGGCCTCTGCCGGCATAACATGGCACATTGTTTTGCAGCAAACTTTTTTTTTTTTTAATAAGTAGGAAGAGTATACTGGAAAATGATAAAAAGTATAGCATAGTAAATACATAAACTAGTATGGTAGTCATGTATTATCATGATCAAGTATTATGTACTGTACATAATTATATGTACTATACTTTTTTACGACTGGCTGCACAGTAGGTTTGTTTACACCTGCATCATCTGAGCACAGTAGGTTTGTTTACACCTGCATCATCTGAGCAGTGCATTCCGCTATGACGGTACTAGATGGTAGGAATTTTTCAGCTGTGTTATAATCTGACAGCACCACCATCGTATATGCAGTCAGCTGTTGACTCAAGCGTCGTAATGGGCGCATGACTGTATTAAGGATATTGGAATATCAACAGAGTTGACTTTCTGATGAATTCAGTGACTTGCTGGACATGACTTGGTGCCTAAAGACTGTGTATTCCTGTGAATATTGGGGAACCTTTAAAGACATTTCAGTTCTTGGCTTTTTAATGTGTTCTCAGCTGACAGGCTGCTCTGTTTGTCTTGGTATTGTAAAGTGAAGATGCCTTGAGTAAGCCGGTGAGCACGGGTGATAGGACAGGAAAGAGGCAGAAAAGGGAAGAGAATTGCTTAAAGTGGAAACTCACAGTGTTTAAAGTTGATGAGAAACGTAGCTAGATTACGTAAGTTTCAGGGCCTGACAGTTTTAAGTTTCTCATCAAATAACAGGGGAAACCCATGCCAGATATTTTGGCATGCTCTCTATTTCATTAGTATATTTGTATAAATGCTAGGAGTTTAACATCGTAGGGCTGTCAGTATTTGAAATAGTATCGTTAATGTTTTGTGAAAATGATGTTCTTAAATATGTGATTTAGAAAAGCTTGCTGACTCTTATTTTCTAGTAAAATACAGAATTCTTACTGTTTCCTAGTAGTCTAGTAGATACAGAATTCTTACTTTTTGTTCCAATTATTGACCCCGTTACACTGTTTTACAGACTGACCTGACATACCTGTAATGAAAAGGAATAAAACAAAATAATCTTATGCTCTGTCTTCTGTGTTTTTAGACCCTAGCTATCATTTTGAAACTTAGTTAAAGCTTCCCTTACTCCCTTAAGCTTCCTATTATTGTTTTAGCCTTTGCTGATCTCATGGAATTGCACAGTTTTAGAGTTGGAAGGGACTTTCAAGGACACTTAATCCAACCTCTCACTTGTGGGGAACAACCATCTACTGCATGTGTGACAGACGGTCATTGAGCCCTGACCTAAATCCCTTCACGGAAGGAAAATGCACTTCTCTCTGGGAATCAGTTACACTGTGGGGATGTAAAAACCTTACAAGCCTTCACAGTCCCGTAGAATTTAGCCCGATTGTCTCCTGGGTGCTAGTCCCTACAGCACTTTGCCCATGTCTCAGATCACTACTGTGTTCTCTCATTAATCAGTGTTGGGTCTGTCATTAGATGGTGACTTCCTGGTCGGTGTCTTTGTATGTGTCATTTTAGTAACCACTACTGAGCCTGGCACATAGTGAGTACTAAGACACGTGTTTGTGGAATGAATGAATAATCTTTTCAGTGAGACTATAAGGTCAGAGACCATGATGAAAAAATATTAAAAAAATATATATTTTCTATATTATTTAACATAGTGCTGAATTGATAATAGCCAGTCAATGAGTACTTTTTTGACATATAAAAAAATAGCATAGAAAAGGTCTTTTCATCGTTTCAAAGGGAAGTACATTAACAGCATGAATGAGACACTCTAGTCTAGTTACACTGAATAAAATGTGTCTTGTTGTTAGATCGCCTCTTTGGAAGTCACTCCCTTTTTCTGCCTTTTGACTATTGTTTTCAATGCCAGAGCAATGGTATAGTCGGTGGTGATCAGTAATGACTTGGAGTTTAGTACTAGTACTCATCGTAAAAGCCTTACCTGGAAAACTCAGCAGATTAAAATGGACCAGTGATTACCTGTCTGTTATCTATCTATCTTGACACAACTAGCCAAGTGATGAATAGAGCTGAAATTAGAGTTCTATTCCTTGGGAGTGAGTAGCACACATTAAATTCCTGAAGAACAAATGGGCAACAAAGAACTATGTAAGAAGCAACCATATTATACTACTAGATAGTATACAATTAATTTTTTATAACCCGGGAAAGTTATTTTATTTACTGTTGCCAACTGTGTGCTCTCTTCTTTCCATAACGGAACTGTGCAAAATTTACCTTCTGGAAGCACTCTTTAGATTATTCCAATTGTAAAACATGGTCTGTAGGAACTTATTTTGACAAAGGGAGAAGAAATTTCTTTTACATTAGGATGAGAAAGACATTCAAGAAAACCGTAGTTTGCTAGATTTCGATTTTAAATTTTCCTTTCATTGATGTTGAAGCTGGCACACTGCAATACTTGATGGGTCTTTTCTAGAGTAAGGCATCTCGTATAATCCAAATTCTTCCATGGGCACATTTTTTCCATTTGAGGCAGCGTCAGTTTCACAGAGGGAAACAGCACCAGCAGCTCTGTATCTAGCCCTGGCACAGGAAGGAGTGATGGGAATGCTTGGAAAAGAGAAGGCACATTGATGCCGAATGGGAGAGTGAATAATGATACTCATGACAGCCAAGGTTAGTTTTCAAAGCTCGAAAGGGATTCCAGCTCTTAGCATATGCCATCTCTGTGGGGAATGGGCTTGGCTCCCTCTGTGGAAAGATGATCTGGGATCATTATTTCTGTTGTCATGGAAATTTATTCTCATGGCTTGCTGGTATCAGTCATGTGTTTTGGCAATAGCTGCAAACCTATTCTAAATCCAGTGCCTTTCTTGACCACGCTTATATAATAGAATGCTTCTGAATTGTTTTGCCTTAGGAACAGATATCTCCTGTGCCATTTTCTTCCTCCTACCATGAGCCTTTTTATAAGGACTTGGACTTTGTTTATGTACCTTTATATTTTCAAGAGTAGAAACAGGAAGAAGATAATAACATCTTCCTTGGGAGTGATTTTCAAATTAAAACTTTTATTTGTCTGTAAGGGGAAAAATGAAACTATGGTCCTTAAGTTACTACAGAGAAGAGTGATTTGTGGGGGTGTGTTGAAATGTAAGGATCAGTGAAGATAATTGTTAGGTCTACCACCTCATTCATACACCCTTCTGATCATATTGTGGAATTTTTCATCTCTACTTCTCCAGTCTTGAAATCAAACATCCTTTCTCATCAAGAGCCTAATCTCTTGACCTTTGTCCTTTCTTATTAAAAGGATAACTGTCATAGTTTAAAAGGTAAACTAGAACTGCAGGACTGCACTTCTTACTTCATGCCTAATTCCCACTTACCCGAGGCAGCCACTTTCAACTTCTTCAACTGTTTCTTCTCACAGATAACATGCTTGTATCCTTTTACTTGATTTTATTTTTCAGTTTTAGACTTTATCCATTTACTTTCTACCCAGAGGATTAGGGCCTAGCTCTTTCATAGTCCAAGCCCCCAACCACAACACCATAACCCTCACAAAATCATACCCTTCCCTTATCTTCCCAATATAATTATATCAAAATACTTGGTTCAATGATTAATCATCACTTTTATTTACTGTTTAACCCTCCGTCGGGTGCAGTGCATCTACTAGGTGCGTGTATGACATTTATTTATTTAAATTGAAAATGAATGAAAATAACGTGTAAGCACGCTTATTGTTTATTCAGAATGAAATTTTAATTTGTCACAAAGTAAAAACAATATATGTTTATTACATAAATTCAGTATAAAAATCAACAGAAATTCAAAACAATCTGTGAGATCAGTTGTGCCTGACAGAAGGTTAAATATTAACACTTGACCCATTTTAGTACATTATGATTCAGTTTTGTTCTGTAGTTTTTTTCCTTAGGGTAATAATAGTTGCCTTTTTGTGGTTTATTTAGGTTGTCATTAGCTCGCTAATTCAGGCTCTGCACAGACGTAGAACTCATTGAAATACACTGGCTAATCTCTCTCCTCTCTTCCTTTCATGCTTTTCTCGATGTCCGCTGTACTTAACAGCTCTAATCTGGACTGCTTACTCTCTAGTTTAGTTTCACAGCCATCATTTTGGAATCTTCGCTATCATTACAAGAATTCTGTTCACCTCTTTCTTGTATTAGATCCCACATCTGCTTTCTTTTTGGGTTTCCTCCCGGTTTTAATGGAGCATATTCTGCAGTGGCTTTGTGAGAAAGGGTGCAGAAGAGGTAAATCTCTGAGAAGCTGAATGTCTAAAAATTTCTCTGTTCTAAGCCCCCACCTAATTGTTAGTTTAGCTGGATATAGGATTCTAGGATGGAATTAATGGAAATATGGGAATTACATTAATTGTTTGCTAGCTTCTGTTTTTGCTGTTGAGACATCAAGTGATATTTAGATTCTGATCCTTTTAATGTGACGGTTTTCTCTCTCTGGAAGCTTTTGGGTTCTTTTTCTTGCGCAGTGTTCTGAAATTTCATGATATGAGGGAGGCCATGGCCAGGCCTTTCCAAGGCTGATGGTGCTGTGAGCAACAGATGAGGAGGTATGTCATCACTGTGGTACAGCATGGAATTATACAGTGTGGGAGCAGATAGACCCTGGAGTGCTCATGTGGCTCCTCTCCCAGCCTCACCTTATGAAAGGCAGCACACCAGGTTCCTTTGCACATCTCACCTGCAGGTTCCTTTCTGTGGGCTGTGTTTACCATTAAACTCTGGATGCTAATGTGTGAGGAACTAAGGTGGAAATAGAGACCTACAATACTCAATTGAATCCTCAGTCATATACACACACACATACATACATACATACAGACAGACATCCCCTGCACTGGTAAATAACTTTCTCAGGTAAAATACTACTTTTAAAATTATATACTATCCAAAAGAAATATTGGGTTGTCGGAAAAGTCATGATGCATTTTTGCAACGAAAATGAGAAAAAAGACATCATGACTTTTCCGACAACCTTATATATGGTTGCTTTTTACATAGTTCCTTGATGCCCGTTTGTTCATTGTGAGCTCAGTGTGTGCTACTCTTTCCTGAGGAATGAGCTCTAACTTCAGTTCTAGTCATCATCTGAATGGTCATGTCTCGTTAGCTAGATAATAGATGGATGATCACTTGTCCGTTTTAATCTGCTGAGTTTTCTAGGTAAGGTTTTTGCATTAGTACTAAACTCTTAAGTCATTATTAAAGGGGCTGTTGATATTGGTATGGGCGGGACTGAGGGACACCAACTAGTCCTGCAGTAGCGAGCGCTACTAGCGCCCCTTGGAATGAAGAGGTAAGGAGGGGAAGAAGTTACCCGAAGCTGGAGAGAGTAGCCGTGGGGAGAGGGCTGCTGACAGAGCTGCAGCCTTTGGCAACCTGGCAGGGAGAGAGCCCGCAGAGTAAATGCCCCGCCTTCCTCCTCCCAGCTTCCAGCCGGTGTCTGCCAGTGGGGCGTACCCCGTACCCCGGCTGGAAGCAGAGCCAAAGGGCAACCTCGGAGGTAGTCCATAAAGGTCAGCCTCCTGGGGCAGAGTGGAAAACAGAGGCGAGGCAAATGGGACATCTCCAGCACAGGTAGGCGCAAAGGTGTTTTTGGAATGCAGAGGTAGTCTTCTGTTGGGAAGAAGAGATGTTCAACTGGAAGGGCTAACTGCGACCCACTTGGACCCTCAGTTCCTGTCTGCCAGGGAGTTGATTACTTATCTTTTTTACTCTGAATGGCAGACGTTCGTTTGCAAGCAACTAACTTTATGTTTTCTGCGGAATTTTAATATATACCCATCTTACTATTAGATGAACTAAATAACATTTGCTGCCTACCCTGCCCATTACCCTCCCCGCCAACTTCCTATAATTCCCTACAAGTTCCTAACCAGTGCCCTATATTTTTGTACTTACTAGTCAGCTTTTATAGCACTCTTTCCAGATAAGTGTGTATCTGCATGCAGCACCTTAGCAATTTCATGTTTATTCTGTATCCCTCTCATTTCTGTTTGGGGTCAGTATGGGAAGCACTTCGCATGCTGCCTAATACAGAGCAACTGCCGCAGTTTCTCCCTAGGAGGCAACATTCTCAGCAGATGCTCCCCTCTGTAGCCTTCTGTACCCAGACACTCTGACTTTGTTGTGATGAGAAGGTCCAGCTTTTAACAGTGGGTTGTTTGGTTGTAGATAAGCGACAGTTTGCTCTTCGATACATCAGACGATGAGGAGTTGAGAGAACAGCTGGATATGCATTCGATCATCGTCTCCTGTGTCAATGACGAGCCCCTCTTCACTGCAGATCAGGTACAAAGGAGGAATTCATCAACGAAAGGAAAGGGGAACCTCGGGCCGAAAAACGATTTCTGTTGTGGCAATAAGTGATGGGTTGTTGGAGTTTTCTTATTTTTCCTATATTTTCTGGTACGTAGGCTTACTGGTTAGCTCCTCCACCGAGAAGGAAGTCTGTGTAATCTGAAGCAGATGAGATTATGTCAGTTGGGAAGATACTCCACAATCAGGCAATTTTCCAAGATAAGCATTGTTAAAACAGTTCAGTGAGTTACTAATGGAGGTTTATTGCTTACACCGAAATCAGAAAAAAAATACTGTGAATTTCCTGTCTTTAGGTTTAGCCAGACCTGGGCAAACTGCAATATATCTGCGCAGAAATTATCTAATGTCTCTAAAACCTATGTAAAAATCATTCGCACTTACGAGAAGTACATATTGTATACCCTAGAAAGAAGTGAGCATTATTCCCGTGGAATGCTCTCATAATGTCAGCCCTGTATTCACTTAAAACCAGTTGAATCAGCTTTCTCATTTTCTGAATACTCTTCCCACTTCTGCTGTGTTGCATCAAAATGTGATGCAAGAACTTCTTCCTGAAATAAAACGTCCTGCGGCTACTTGGGTTGTGATTTCTACCACACTACATTTTTTGGCTGGAAAAATAAGGTCAGTAAAGAGAGATACTATGGTAAAGTCGAGAGGAGTACGTTAAAAATGTGTCACTTTGATGCTCTTTGGTCATATGTGTGGTTGGCTTGTTCTAGGCCTGGAGAGAACGAGGTGCTTAAAAAGCAAGGCAGTAGGTTAGAGGGCTGAGTGGGGTAGAGTGTGATATTCCAGGGGGACGTGCGCCCTACGAATTCATGGTCTCCCCAGTAATTGCCTGAATGCCGCAAGTTCTCCCTGCTTTTAGGACTTGGAGAGACCAACTCCGTAGCCTGCATAGGTGTCTCATTTTACTGTTTTACAATGCCTATTTTGGAAAATCTTCTTACTAATCAACATAATCCCTACCCCCTCCAGGTTTGCTTTTGTTTTTCCTTAGTGCAAGTGCTGCATGTTAAGCCTGTTGATGCATATTGTATTTTTTCTACTAGTTTATTACTTTTTAAAACTCTTATCTTAGGTCTTTTTTTTCTATCGAGTGCTTTTTCTGGTTTTCCTTAAGTTTTCCATGAGGTCTGTATCCTCAGTTTTTGGAAACTGGAGCTGGACAAGATGCTGTTGTAAAATTTGAGCAACATTGCATATGACAGTAGGTTATTGTTTAAAAGGCCGATGTATTTCTGAAAATTTCCTGCTTCGTGCAGCTTTGTTTCCCTCTTTACACTCTACATTTTAAGTAATTTTTGAATATCCCTTTATCTTTTGTTGAATTAATGTATGAAATTTTTTCCTGCGGTTAAAGGAAGATTTTGCTGCCATAGAGGTAATTTCTTGCTTTATATAGAAGTTTTTTTATACTGATGTATTTTCTAAATTTTATGTCAATTCGATTAAATGGCTTTAAATTGAGTAATTGCTTGTGGTATGTTATAAATATTCTGTCATTTGCTTTCATTTGACTAGTAACTATGATTTGGTTCTGGCACGTCTGAAATAAGTTATATGAGGTGTGATAGAAAAATATGGGGAATGTTTAAATAAAAATTTATTCCAGTAAAAGACACATTGCGCTTTATTCCCCTCAGAATACTCCCCCTCAATTTGAACACACTTATCCCATCATTCTTGCCATTTTCTGAAGCAGTTCTGGAAGTCCTCTTTTGTGAGTGTTTTTAGTTGCGCTGTCGTGGCTGCCTTGATGTCCTGAATGGATTCAAAACGTTTACCTTTCATGGTCATTTTGACTTTGGGGAAGAGCCAGGAGTCGCACTATGCCAGATCTGGTGAATAAGGTGGATGAGGACACACCTTAAAGTTTTATTTGACAGAAATTGCCATTCCAGAAGCGATGTATGACATGGAGCATTGGCATGATGGAGGAGGAAGTAAAGACACAAAAGAGGACTTCCAGAACTGCTTCAGAAAGTACAAGAACGATGGGATAAGTGTGTTTGAAGTGATGGCGAGTATTTTGAGGGGGATTAATGGCAATGTGTCTTTTACTGTAATACATTTTTTTAATTTAAATATTTGTCGTATTTTGTGATCACACCTCGTACATATGTGTGTAACACCATTTCTCAGACATTGCAAGATCTGATGGGACCTACTGAATCATGATGGACATATCAAATCATATTCTGTTGAACTTTGTGTTTGGTATATTGTACATTTTTTTAGGTAAACCATGTTCACTCGTACAATCAAAATTTAATTATTCAGAGCACCCACCCCTGCACACTGCTGGTTAATGGAGAACACAGTACACTTTTACTCTGCTTGGCTCTGGTGAGTGCTGTGTTACAGACGGATCATGGTCTCTCTCTATGTGATTAACAGTGCTATGTATATTTTCGAAGGTTATTGAAGAAATCGAAGAAATGATGCAGGAATCACCAGACCCAGAAGATGATGAAACGCCCACACAGTCAGATCGGCTTTCGATGCTTTCCCAGGAAATTCAAACTCTTAAGAGGTCTAGCACAAGCAGTTATGAAGAAAGTAAGAAACCCTACTTAAATCGGTGCTCTATGTCCTTTTTGTACATCTCAGACATATGGTGTGACTACCTCCAGAATCTTTGATTCTCACAGGCTGGGTTGCATACCCTTCCCCGGCCCTCCAATAATACTCAGCACATATTTTTATCGTTGCTCAGGGACTAGGTCATATTCATTTTGGATCCTGTATTAGTCAGCTTGGGCTGCCGAAACAAAGTACCAAAGTCTGGGTGCCTTAAACAATAGAAATTCGTTTCCTCACAGTTCTGGAGGCTAGAAGTCCGGGATCAGGGTGTCAGTAAGGTTTGGTTTCTTCTGAGGCCTTTCTTCTTGGCTTGCAGATGGCCGTTGTCTCTCGGTCCGCTCATGGACTTGCCTCTGTGTGTGTGTATCTGTGTTCTAATCTTCTCATTTTATAAGGGCGTCAGTCACATTGGATTAGGGCCCACTAATGACCTCATTTTAACTTAATTATCTCTTTGAAGACCCTCCTCCAAATACAGTCACATTCTGAGGTCCTGGGGGTTAGGACTTCAACAACGTCCTATGTCTCACATAGGGGAAGTGCTGAGAAGAAGCTGGAATGGGGCTTTAGAGAATACTGTTCTCTTTCATCTTCCCAGTATTCATTAAAATTCACACATTGGGGCATATGTCATTAAATATGTATTTAGTTTAATTCTTTTAAATGGACTTCTCCTCTCTTCAGAAGTGGCCAGAACCCTGCTAAATTGCCTGTGATACCTTGTCAGCAGGTAGTTTCTGTATGCCCCCTGTTTTTGGGTTTGTTCTTTTCCTTGTACAAGTTTTTCCTTTTTCAGTCTTGACTGAAGTATTATTCATGGGGTGATTGATTTAGACAAGTAAAAACATTTTGTTATACTTTTCTTCTTAGCCGTTTGAGATACAACTTTGCCCACCTTCCCTTACTTAGACCTGCCCAATGGAAGTTTTAAAGATTTTGTGATTACAAACAATTTAGTTTCTTAGAAGATCATTTTGCTCTTTGGCATAAAACGCCCTGTGGTGCTTGCTTGAAACAATTTTGTCTTAGTAAATAGCTGCTGTGCTTTGCTTTTGGTCATAGGAGTAAAAAGGCTCACTGTATCTGAACTGAATGAGCTACTGGAGGAAATTGAGACCGCCATTAAGGAATACTCTGAAGAGCTGGTGCAGCAGTTGGCTCTGCGAGATGAACTGGAGTTTGAAAAGGAAGTGAAAAACAGCTTTATTTCTGTTCTCATTGAAGTACAAAACAAACAGAAAGAGCACAAAGAAACAGCCAAAAAAAAAAAGAAACTCAAGAATGGCAGCTCTCAGAATGGGAAGAGCGAGAGAAGTCATATGCCCGGCACAGTAAGTGATGTTTTGCAGGAGGCATCGCATGCTGGAAACAGTTTCCTTGGTAACCCCAGCACTCCAGGCCAGGAGCAGGCGGGCCAGGACTCCACGTGCATGCTGGAGTGGGGTGCTTCTCACCAGGTGCTGAAGGGGTTCTGCCCAACCACTGTGCTCAGCGCTTCAGAAAGGTGTTTTCTTGGCATAACTGTTATCAGGATAATTCAATACTGCGATGTTTGTTTAGGAGGGATGAGGGGGGATAAAAGAGGAGGATTTCTTAAAGAAAAGAAGGTTTAGCAAGTGACCATTGTAATACATCAAAATGTTAGTAGTGGGTTTTTTTTTTTTTTATGTTTGGCTGGTGGGCTTATGAAGGGTATTTTTATTATTTTTGCTTATCTCTTAGGAGCTGTATAATACCAAATCAAATGGGGGTGCATTTACAGCTGTGCTGAGCCTAAAAGCACAGATTGATTTGTAAATAGCTTCTTCCTGGTTTATAAGCGAAGTTGGAATATGAAGATGTCAGAGGCAGTGAGGTGACATCAGCCATCTGGCTTTGTACTTTATAGACTAGCATATCACTGACTGGTGAAAACAAGTTTAGAATATTTGAATCTTTGACCCTTCTTATAAAGTTTTTGCTTCCTACTTTTTAATTTTTCCTAAGTGGTCCTATTATTTGCAGTTGATTACAATTTATTATAAACATTAACTGTTAAATACATGAGGTGCATTTCCTTACTGACCTTGTGGCCTTTCATCTTGCTTGGACCAGTTGAGGCCTTGTGTATGCCACCTTCTTCTTGTTTGTATGTGAAGGAACTTTGGGTTTTTTTTTTTAGGGTGTAATGTTTGGGCAGAGGGACCCATTTTTCTAAAGGGCACATATCTTTTTAATTTATGATATTGATAACATGGTAATTCAAATCACCACAAACTAGCTATTATGATTTCCAATAATATAAATCCTGTCTTTAAGTCTTGATTTGTTTTTTCTAAAGAATACTTGTCAGAGAAAGAGATCTTATTAACCAGACGCTGATGGAATCCAGGAACGAGAATGCAGTTCTGGGTTGCTGGGCCACCAGTGAGCGTTTAATACAAACAAAAAGAATCTTACCATTTATAGCCTATTCATTGTACTGTTTTTGGCCTATGAGTAAATGGAGATTTTCTTAGTGTAATGTCCATTTGTACATAGAAAGGACATAGATTATAAACTGCCTTTGAATAAGTTCTCAGATATGTGTTAAAATTGTTTTTGAGAAATGGCAGTATTGATTGAATAGGTGTTTATTTAGTTGCTTTCAGTGACTACTCTGGAAAAACAAAGAAACAAAACACCAAAAAGCCCAAAACATTTGTTTGGCTATACAATCCTGGAAAGTTTTCTTTAAAATATCAGGGACAATATATTGTATCTCATATTTTAAAACATTATATCCTTCAAATTGCCCTATTATACAAGTGTGATTAAATAAAATGCTTAATTAAAAGGTCATAGCATGATTGGTAATTTCTGCCTATCAGCTTTTAGGGATTACATATAAATCCTCCATTTATTGGTGTTAATACTTGGCTTAATAAAATGAATTTATCGGTATCGGGGTTTAAAGGCTTCTTTTTGTAACTCCCATGTAAAAAGGGTTAGAGTGGAATTCACTGTGTAATTTTACATGGTATTTATATTGAGAAATGGCAAGGTAGCATTTAGGTCTTACTTAAACCTTTTTTAGTCTTGAAATAGATTCATAGTAACAGTAATTTTTTTCACAATATTTGGACTTGTGAAGTTGCTTCTTGAGTGGTGATCTACTATTTGTGTTAAAACCTTTAATCAGGCTAGTGATGGCATTGCTAAGCTTGTGATATAGTTCCCTCTAGCTTTCTCAAGCCTAAAATGCTAGAGAAAGACTGTCCCATCTGTGATACAAGGAGCCTGAAACTTATGATTCTGCAAGTAGTGGTAGGTGGCTCAAAAGGACCGTAAAGTGAAACGGTCAGTTGGAGAAACAGATTCCCAAAAGTATTACCTTGCCAGACATTTTATGTAGCACGCAGTTTTGGCAAGGCTTAATCTATCAACTATGCCTTAGCTATCATCAGTGATACTAATTTCTGATAATTGGTGATCTTTTTGCAGATATCATGCTAATCTGGTTTCTCATATCAGTCACTTTTTTCTATCTACCTTTGATACTTTTTGGTCTGTTAGCAGGACTTGGATGTTTTCCTTAAATGTGGAAGAGTGACCTTCCATTTTTTCTTAAGCATGTCTCACTGAAACAAAGCATCAGTTTGTAGTTGGTATAATACCGTATCCATAATTGCTAGCTTGTTTTCTTTGGTCTAAAGATACTGTGATGAAATATATGGGTGGGAATAGAGCAGAGTTAAACTCTTCAGGGGTTAATTTTGGACACATGTTTTGTTTCAAACATTTTTCTGCAGTGAAAAAAACATTGGGGTCTTAGGGTTGCTATTTAGAGCATTAGAAAATTTTTTTAGGGCATGAAAATACTACTAAATATGGAAGAAAATATTGAGTCTCTTATAAAAGGAAAAGGTTATCTTGATTTGTTTTAATTTTTAAAATAATCTGCTATATGTTGGGCAAGATAAAACAATACTTATTTATTCAGCAAGTATTTGCAGAGTGTCTTCCTTGTGCCAGGGGCGTTGTAGATACAGTGGTGAATAACAGACAAAGCCCAGGGCCTCCTGGAGCTTATATTCTAATGATGGAGACAAGCAATAAACACGGAAAAGAATAAATAGTGTAATTTCAGGCAGTAATAAATGTTACCAAGAAAACAAAAAGCTGGGGCCGAGTGGTGCGTTGCTTGGGGGTTGGCTTGGGACGTTCCGATCTCACATGGGCCAGTGACGCTGCGCCCTCTACAGCTAAGGTGGTGAACAACAGCTCGACCTGGAGCTGGGCTGCCTTGAGTTGCTGGCGACGATGTAAGCTGCAGTGGGGCTGGCCGGCAGTGAGTGTGAGCTTCCGTGAGCCGCTGTGAGCTGCCGTCCAGTGAGCCGCTGTGAGCTGCCGTCCAGTGGCCGGATAGTGACCACTTCACCCGGGAAGAGCGCAATGATCATACCAACATTGGTCAGTGAGGTGATGTCCTCCACAGCTGGACTGAGGAGCAAGGGGACGGCAACTTGTCTGTTCCCCTTCCCAGATTCCCCAATGCTGTTTCCCTCCCCCAATTCCCCAATAAAATCTTAAAAAAAAAAGAAAAGAAAAAAGACTGGATAAGGTGCTTGATAGTGATGCTATTGGGGAGCTGTTTCCTGATTGGCAAGGCAGGCTGTTGTAATTGTTTCCAGCTCCCTTTGGAGGGGAGGTTGGAGGAGTAGATCTTCTCTTTGAAAAACTGAGGCTCGAGACAGCAGAAAACTTTCTATCTCCTTTGTCTTGTCAGCATTTGGAAGAGCAAAGGGGTGGGTTAGAGATGGGAGTGGTTGAAGGGCAGTGTCTGTTAATCAGTGCGGTGAGTTACATGCCTTTCTTTGAACTGACTGTGCTGTGTTGGGCGTTAGTGCTTCTGTATGTATAATATGTGCCACTGCCATTTTGTGGAGTGGCCCTCCTTTCTTGCTTCCCCTGTCCACTTGGAGGATTTATTTTTTTTAACTCATCTGTCAAAATCATGGTCATGCGTTGTCTTCCTTTATCAGAACCTGCCCTTGATTACTCCTCCAACAATGCAGAATTGAATACTCTGTCCTTCTTTTGGGGTTAATATTACTCCTCTTAACTATTTCTGTTAGCAGTGTCATGCCATATTGCAATTTTTTTTTGTTTTCATGTCTATCTCTGTAATGTTTCCATAAGGGTAGGAAATGTAACTTTATTTTCTTGGTATCATTAGGTCCAACATTAGGTAACTAATCCATTTCTGCTGAATAAATCCCTCAAAGAAAGATAAGCTTGCCAGTCAGTATCTGATCTTTCTGCCAGTTGCCAGACCCATGCAGGCTGAATAGAATATTAAGAGCTTTGGCTTAAGAGCTATGTTTAAATCCTGCTCCTGGGTGCATAACCCTTTGAGTTTTGGAGGGATTAAATGAAATAATATATGTAAGACTAGCATATATTCTGAGGAAATGCTAGTTATTATATATCCCAACTGCCTACTGACTTTTCTTCCTGCATGTCTTGTAGGAATCTGAAATTTATCCTATCAAACCAAAGTTACCAGTTTTCTGAAGTTGAATTCATTTCTTACATTTTTCCTTTTGGTTAGTGAAACTGTAAGTGTAGTCATTCACTGAAACCAGTGGCATTTCTAGGTCAAAGCATATGTAGTTTTAAAGAGTTTTAAACAACCAGCTTTCCAAATTGCTCTACAGAAACATAACCCTGTAACAGAACATGTGAGTGGCCATTTCCCCACACCTCCAACCAGCAAACTTTTAATATATACTAATCTGATAGGCAAACAATGGTTTGATCTGCTGACCATTGGTATTCTTCAGTGAGTTGCCTGTTATGTCACGTTTGAGATGTTTTTCCTATTTATGTGTGAGGGTGCACTTGCTTCTGATATCACAGTACCACGCTGTATTGTAATCATTGGCTTAAGTGTGTCCTGGGAAAGATACAGGCCTCCCACAGGCTTGTTTGCATTGTTGCCCCAGCACCTCACCTAGTGTTTGGTACTTAATGCATGTTTGTTGAATTGGAACTTCACTATAAAGGAGATGGAATCCCAGAAGATTTGGGTTTGCAGTGTTTGAATTGTTGTTCTATCATGGTTGGTTTTTTTTCCTTTTGGCAATCTTCTGTTTATATTGAACAGATTTCAGAGGTCATTGGGTTTTAGTGGCAGGTCACATGAATTCAAGAACAAGTTGAAGTACACCAGTTATGTTTTAATTTAGTTGTGGTTGTCATCTCGAGTTATCTGAAGTTGTAAAGACATTGGTGTTTACCTGCTTAGCAGCATACCTTTAGTACTAAGCTTATATGGCTGAAAATGGATATACTTCCTCCTTTAGAATTC